ACAAAGCTTGATGATAAGAGTTTTCGTTGTGTATTGCTGGGAGTTAGTGAAGAATCAAAGGCTTACATACTCTATGACCCAATTTCTCAAAAGATCATAATCAGTAGGGATGTTGTATTTGAAGAAGACAAGAATTGGGATTGGGATAAGAAGTATGAAGAAGTCATCGTGTGTCATCTGGAATGGGGTGATGATGGGGAAGAAGCTACTGTGAATGAAGAAAAAAGTGACTCAACTTTTGCGGATGATATAGAAGAAGACACAGAAGAAAATAATGCTACTGTTGTAGCCATTGAATTTGATGTTGCAGTCACTGCATTTGATTTATTAATTCAAAATAGAGACAACCCTTCCAATTCAAATGCAGCACAAAATAGAAGACCACCTGTTTGGATGAGCAATTATGAGACAAGAGAAGGTTTTTTTGAGGAAGAGCATGAAGTCCAACTTGCTATGTTTGCAGCTGCCAATCCAATTCATTTTGAAGAAGCTGTTAAAAGTGAGAAATGGAGAACAACTATGGATGTAGAAATGGAAGCGATAAAGAAAAATGGCATATGGGAATTGACAAAATTACCTAAGGGAGGAAAAACAATTGGAGTAAAGTGGGTTTACAAGACTAAGTTTAATGAAAATAAAGAATTAGAAAAGCACAAAGCTCGGCTTGTGGCAAAGGGTTACACACGGCAATATGGGGTAGATTATACTGAGGTTTTTGTACTTGTGGCACGTATGGAAACAATTCGGTTGGTAGTTGCACTTGCAGCTCAAAGAGGGCGGTCCATTTATCAGTTAGATGTGAAATCTGTATTCTCGCATGGTGAGTTGAATGAAGAAGTCTTTGTCGAGCAACCTTGTGGTTATGTACAAAAAGGAAATGAGGAAAAGGTTTATAAGTTAAAGAAGGCACTCTATGGGCTCAAGCAAGCACCTCGTGCTTGGTACAGTTGTACAGAAGCATATTTCATGAAGGAAGTCTTTGAAAAATGTGACTATGAGCATACCTTGTTCATCAAAACTAACAAGGAAGGTAAAGTTTTGATCGTTAGTTTATATGTTGATGATCTAATCTTTACTGGCAATGATGAATTAATGTTTGTTGAGTTTAAACATTCCATGAAGCATGAGTTTGATATGACTGATCTTGGTAAGATGAGATATTTTCTTGGCCTTGAAGTCTTGCAAAAATCTGATGGTATTTTCATAAGTCAGAAAAAGTATGCTTTAGAGGTACTCAACAGATTTGGAATGGACAAAAGTAACTCTATTTTTAATCCTATTGTTCCTGGTTGTAAGCGTGTGAAAGATGAAGGGGGAGTTAAGGTAGATAAGACTTACTACAAACAAGTAGTAGGGAGTCTCATGTACCTCACAGCTACTCGACCAGATTTAATGTTTGTGTGAGTATCATTAGTAGGTTTATGGAGAATCCTATTGAGCTACATTTACAGGTAGCAAAAAGGGTGCTATGGTATCTGATAGGAACAATTGATTTTGGGATTTTCTATAGGAAGGGAGGAGATGATGAACTTGTTGCTTACACTGACAGTGATTATGCTGGAGATTTGGAAGATCGAAAGAGCACTTCAGGTTATGTTTTTTTATTAAGCTCAAGGGCAATTTCTTGGTCATAAAAAAAGCAACCGGTAGTGAGTTTATCTACCATAGAGGCAGCAACTTCATGTGCATGTCAGGCAGTATGGTTAAAAAGGGTGTTGGGAAAGCTAGATCAAAATCAAAGCAAGTCATGTGTTATTCAATGTGACAGTAGCTCTGCAATCAAACTTTCGAAGAATCCAGTAATGCATGGTCGAAGTAAGCACATAGATGTGGTTTTCATTTTCTTCGAGACCTTACTAAGGATGGTACTGTAGAATTAATACCACTCAAGTTGAATACTTTTGTCAAGCTGCGAGGACAATTGGGAGTTTGCTCTTAAACTGATGTAAAATGAAGCTTGTAGTGTTCAGTTTAAGGGAGGAAATGTTAGTTTTTATGTTTATTTTACTGGTTTAGTGGTTGGTTACCACTATGTCTGTAAATACCTTTTCTTTTGGGTTCTGTTATTTGCTGATCTGGTCTTCTCAGAACGTTGTGGGAGTTGTTTAGACGTGGGCTATTTCACGTTTGTTCAGTTATTTCTATTTGCTCTGTAAGGCTATATAATAGCCAAGTTTATTATTCAATGAAGTGAAGTTGATTTCCTCCTGTTTCATCTGTACTCTTTGTTCAGCTTCTATTTTCTAACAGAATGTACAAATGGAAGGATAAGTATTACTGCTTTTCCTTTAATAGAAAAAAGTGGAAACAAAAGCTTTTGAATAACACGAGTGCGTAATAAATTTCTTACTGATTTTACTGTTCCTGCATTTATTTACATTTTTTTAATTCATATTCTTGTTTAAATATCTCTGGTACTTTATCTGCATACTAGTACAAATGTACGATACAATAGTAATTTAGAAAAATGGAAAGGTAGACGTCTTTACCATAATCTAGGGTTTCTCCATCTCAGCATGCATGTCTACAATTTTATATTGAAATTTTGATCTTGGGCAGGCTACCACAACCAACAAACAAATTATACCAAAGCAATTTTTATGGAATGTTTGCATGTTACTGGCAGAGAACTTGTCTCGCTTCCTGTACTTTAATAATGCATTTGAAATGCTTCAGCTGAAGGTTCATGTTTTCTAGAAAACCATATTATCATATAGTAGTTATTGAAGTACATCTATCTCTCTAATACCTGGTTTAGTGCGGCCAGCCAGCCAGCCATTAACTTTGACTAATTTGGAAGGCCATCCTTGTTGATTTCCCATCCCACTTGGAGGAAAAGATCTGCCCTCCTATTTATTATCCCATGAGAACGATTCAGAATATGTCAAAGTTATACAGCCAGATCTCAAATTTCAATATTGAATTGCCACTGGAAAAAAAAAAAAATATGAACACATTCTGTGTACTTTCTCGTTGATGTTAATACTCAAGCACAGAATAAAATTTGTCATATTCTTATTATTCCATATAGTTTTGACAATAAGCTAATAGTCTGTTTCTCTTATGATTTGTGTGAGTTTGAAAGGCACATGATACTATCACATGCTATCGCTGGCATCATCATATCTGGCCACGACTTCTCCTCTTTCCAATGTTTCCAACATTCAAACATCACGTGTTCTTTTCATCTCAATATTTTCTAAATTACTCTTTTACCCTTATTTTTCATTCAAAACAGGAGGATAATATTGACATTACAGAAGATAAATAATTATAAAGTGCAAGTTGTTGATAATTCTCAAATAGAAGTTAGAGATGCTTGACTATCTTATATTAAAATAAAAAAATCAATTTGGTAGCCTCGTGAGAATTCGTGCAAAACCCTTTTCTTTCGCCAGAAGATAATAAAAATATAAATAAATAAACCAAGAAATATAACTGGCTCCCATATTCATACATACCTTGCCACTTCCATAGTTTAAAAAAAATAAAAATAGATCAAGAGATATGCAAGGCATGTGGGGGTTTTAAATTAATCACCAATGGGCAGTTCAGTTCGCATCTTAGAATAGTATAATGAGTAGGTGGTGCATGTATTGTCACGCGGAGCTATTTAAAGCATACATCCAACTTCTTCTGGCCTTATGTATAGTTGAAGCTCAAAAATTCAACAGTAATCATATATACATTCCTCAAGTAAATATTTAATTTTATGTGTTACAGAGACATGCACAGGCACAGTGGAAGCTAGCTTGGAAGTTGGCTGTCATTATGACATACCATGTTGATTTTTATTTCTTTATTTTCATTTTTGGTTTATTGATCAAAACAGCATCTGTTTTTTTTTTTAATTTAAGAATGACTTCATCCTCAAAATTTAAAAACAACCAATAAGGATTGTTGAATTCTCTTCAAAGCAAAGATATTGAATGAGTGAATATTGGGTTAGTTTTTTTTCTTTTAAATTAAATAATTAAGAAGAAATCATTCCAATTGATTTTATAACATAGAATACCTTTTGACACATGATGACGGTTGCGTGGGGTATTAATTGAACACTGAAAAAATGAAGTCAAAAAAACAGTGCCAAATCACAAAGCCATAAAATATTGTTTCAGAAAACACAATTAATTGTAAATTGGGAAAGCAATAATAATTAATAGATACCAAAATCAATTTTTCCGGCAAATCCCTTCTAGTAAAGAGACAAGAAAAGGAGATGAAAAATTAATGCGCCACCTTTTCATGTTGCAGAAATCACAGGCTTTCTGTTTGGCACAGGACAGGACAGAAGATATTAGATCGATAAAATTGATATCAAGCCAACAACCTTCTTTAAAGCTGATTGAATTTGCTATTATACTCCACAGTACACACTTTGATCGATGTCAGAATGAAACAACACTACTTCTGCGAGAAGAAAATAGTGTTAAATTACTCAAACAGCTAAATGCTAATGATCAACTCCTATAGCGTGAATAGACATAACCTTTCTAAATGCCTTTGTTTTCATGTATCGACTGTTTGATTAGACGTTTTCCCTTCTCTTTTTCTTTTTCCCTAAATCTGTTGAATAAGGCAAAAACATTTTACCTGATGTGGATGTAAGTAGTCGAATTGACATTACCCCTTTTCACACTCGACAACCAAGAGGGAGTGCTCATAACCAATCCCATTTTCATTTGATTTAATTTGTTTTTACCAAAGTACGTGGCTGGACAGGTTTGGTGGAAGTAGAAAATTAATGAAATCTAGTGGAATGTCAGATTTGTCAGTGATTGGATAAACTAACCAGAGAAAAAATAAATGCCAACAGATAAGACATGGGAGAGAAGCCAAAGCCAGCTTCTCTATAACCGTGCATCAACAGTGATAAAGTAACCACATCTTAAGGCCCACAATTAATATCAAGTATCAACTACTGTACTCTGTACAACAAAAAAATTTTAAAGTAAGTGAAATGAAAATGACTTCAAATTTAAGCTAAAAAGCAAAAACCAAATCCAAAAGTAGAAATTCGATAGTGAAAATTCTGTACATGTACACGTGGAGTAGTAGATAAGGAAGAATAACAGACAACAAAATTTCCCGGCAACCTTTGATATTTATCTTTTTTGTACAAAAACAGAGAAATTGAACCAGAGATTGCACTGCCGGTAACATCTCAAGAACCTTTCACTTAATTCATTCAAATTTCCCAGCAAAAAATTTCAGCAGCTCAGTGCTTCATACTTCACTTGAAGTGGACGGTTAAACGCAGCTTGCGATAGCAAATTTCCAACTGCAGCTATGTCTCGGCAAAATATACCTTGGTACACATTATTTGTGTTGGAAGCCGTTGGCCCATTGTTTTCTGTAGAACTCATTCTATTAGAACCAGAAATCTCCATAGACGTAGCAGTAGTAGATTGATTCAGTTCCGGTTCCAACTTGGAATTTTGGGTTTGTTGTTGTTGTACTTGAATAGCTACTTGCAAAGCAGTTGTAGCCTTCTTTCTCCGTTTCTCAGCTGCTTCCTCATCCATAATATTAACCATAACACTTGAATAACCCTTTTGCAGCAATCTATACAACAACAATGCAGACATCTTTGCTCTGTCTTTAACAGAATCAAGATTACGATCGTCTGCAAACTCACACCTATCAATAAAACTAGTAGCTTTATCGGGCTTGTGTCTTAAGGACAACAATAAATGTGCCCTCTCCAACTCAGATCGTGTACACCCACGTCTCAACCCAATCAAAGCGTAATAATCTACATTACCAGTCTCTCCAGAAGCAACTCTCTGCTTCAATTCTTGAATCTTGGTGGTCAATGCACATAGTTTCCCAGGAATCTCTCTATATCTCACGTTATGTCTCTTCCAAGCAGGTCCCGGAAGTTTCCTATCACGCAAAATTGAATTATACAAGAGTTTCAAGTGTTCAAGATCATGTAAACAGTCCGGCAAACAACGTATTGTCTCAAGAAGCGAGGCTCTAGTATCAAGCGCTTGAATGCAACTGGGTTCAAGAGCCAAAGTCTTGTTACAATCAGCGATAGATTCAGCTATCCTTCCTGAGGATTTATAAGCAAAAGCTCTATGCATATAACATTCAGCCAAGAACCCTTGTGGGGCCCCTCGACGCCCATCAACGATTTTACTGAAGTGGCGTATGGCCTCCGAGTATAGACCTGCATCGAGTGCGGCGATGGCTGCGGTACGACGCCGTAGGAGGAGCTTTATGTGTGAGAGCAACTGGGATATGCTCTCTGACTCGGTCAAAACGCGTGGAGGAGTTGAAGGTGGTGTGTGGTGATGGCTGTTGGTGAACACCGATATCGGCAACCTAGAGGAAGAGAAACTATCATCGGATAAAGAGATGCTCTCACGACGGAATGCTGCCGTCGCCAAGCGTTTTCCGGTCTGGAGGAGAACCATGGCGTCCTCCATTAATCCTAGATGGCAACATGCTTGACCTAAAACCAAGTACCTGCAAAAACTTTCCGTCGACCGAGTTAGAGAATGGAAGAACGAGTTTGATTAAGAAAATCAACTCAGGAATCTGTACTCTAATTACGAAAATACCCTCAAAGTTTTTTTTAGAGTCAAATGTACTATTCTGGCTTAGCTGGCTAGGCCAATTGATTGTCAAAAGATATTGATGAAATTGTTTTAATGTTTTTCAACCTTTCGACACCACAGAGTTGGTTCAAAAGATAGTTTCTTGTCTGTGAAGACTTGAATTAGTTGACAAAAATGCATTTGTTTTTGTACAAATTTAAATGTCAAAACTCAATAGTTTGAAATCTGTAAGGACTGGCTATGCAATTACAGAAACCAATAACAAATGTGTTCTGGTGTTAGTATATTTAATGGCGTCATTAAAAGAACCACCCCAGGAACAGAACACGTTAAAAATACTGAAAATTCAATGCAACAGAGAAACAAAAACTGAAATTACCTCCATTGCCCTTCTTTCTCGCAATTTTTACAGAGCCCAGCCATGACTTTCTTTTTCAAGTCCGAGACAGAGAAACACTTGAAAGATGGATCACGGCCCAGTGAATCATCGGACGAGTCACTAGAAGGCAAAAGCTTGACTCTTTCTCTTGAAAGCTGTTGAGAGGAGCTATCAGAAGAAACAGAACCAGAGTCATCGTTAGCCATTTTGAGGCTAGGAATATAGTCTTGAAGCATATCAGCAACATCCTTAAATCGTCTTAGATAGAGCAAAGATCTGGCTTTGAGTTCCAGAGCGAGTTCAAAGCGAGGAGAGAGAGCAAGAGCGGCATCAAGAAGATTGAGAGCAGAAGCGATCTCACTCTGCTCTTGACTCGCAATAAGGCTTCTGGCATCTTTAATGTACTTATCTACAACCTGTATATATGAATCAATAAAACCATTAAACTTTTAATTTAAGAAGAATGCATAAAATAAAACCAAGATCAAGGCTTAAACGTCCTTTACCTTTCTGTTGCTAAGCCACCAGTGTTTCTTCTCACCACAAGTTAAAGAAGGAGAAGTAGCCATGGTTGTAGTTGTTAATGTTGTTATTGTTGCGGAAGAATCAACCATGAAAACCAAACCTCTCTCCCTCTTTCTCTCAAAGCATATACATTTTTCTGTTTTGTAATAAAAGAGGAGAAGAAATATATAGGAGATAGAGAAAATGGGAGCAAAGTGGGGAGAGAGAGAGAGAGAGAGAGAGAGGGGTTGATTTAAAATCTGTACAGATTTCTCAAGAGTAAATAAGGGAAGGCCGTGGAGAGAACAAAGCCCTAAAAGAAAATTTGCCAGCTTTGACCTCAGACAAAGCTTTGATCCTTCAACTTCATAGCTGGCACCACACCATTTTTATTCTCTCTCCTTATAAGCCTATGTGGCCTATAACACTATGACTATGACTCTATGAACTATTTTCTTATTTTTTTAATCATGGAAATAATTAAAATTCGGTATAATTATTTTTCACCTGGTATAGCCAATGACTGCATGATTATGACCGGATACAAACGGTGAACCATCACGGGTCCTCGGGTTCAACTACCGGAGAAAAGATAAGACGCCAGCAAATTGCCCCAAAAGTAAGTAAAGAGAGTGTAAGAAATCTCTCCAGTTCTTATGACTTTGAANGTTCCACTTGTTAGATTTGGACCCCCAATATTCTTCACAGTTTTACCTTCGGACTTTTCAAGCCAAAACACATCTAACTAGTTAAGGGACACCCTAAGCTATATACTATACAAAAAAGAAGTGCTTCATGCTACAGATCTTCGTTCAGGACAAACTTCAATAACTCAAATCATTACTTTTCCACCAATAACGTCTTCTTTACTAGCTAGAAAAATTATGCATACTAGCTAGAGAAAACAAGTTCTTTCTGTTGTTCGAGCATTTGATCTGGAGCATTTTCCAATTTTCTCATTACTTGTGGAAAATTTGGATTTCAAACACTTTATAAGTTTTTTGTGGGTATAATAATTGGTGGCCATCTCTTGCCCTTGCTACAATTTGAATCCAAGACCTCTTAGTCTCTTAACTCCTAAATCCATCCTTCACTCCATAATGCCACAAGAGGTGCTTAACACTTATAAGTTTAATGCCACTTCAATTGAACTATATATGATTGATGCTTCCACAAAGAGATAACTTCTCTTACTTTAGTGATCCATTTTCATAACTAATGGGTAAACACTTTACAAATGGATGCCAGCTTCAATAAGGATTCAATCTGTTCAAATTATTGCATTGTCCATATTTTCATTCATCTCGAAGCTTTAAACTGCAAATTGTTAAAACCGGACGTGAAGATGGATATATTGGTTTGAATCCTCATAGCCCTTCATCATAAAAGGGGTAATTAAAATAGTTCCCCTGAAGTTAGACTATAATGATATAAGGGTTACCTTGCCTCCCTGCTTTACAAATTAATCTTTACTTCAACAATTAAATATCTCTTCCAATCAAATTACCGGTAATATATCTTCATCTCTCCTTATAGATCTTACATCCATCAAATTTCCCAATGTTTCAAACAATTTGTTCACAATCATTGATGCCAACATCATATTAGCGAAGAGCTTCAATCCTCACTACTAGAAAAACCTTATTTCTTAACAGAATAAGTTGATAGATTTTTTTTACTGTTCTCGAAAACTGTTAAAAATTATAATTCTTGATAGTTTATGAATTGTCAAGAATTTAAAATAATCTTTGACCGTTTTAGATGATTCTTGACAATTATTAACCGTCAAAGAATTTGTTAAAAATAAATTTTGCGAATCTTGTTCTTGTATTCTTAATTCTTGATAGTTTTTAATTGTGAAGGATTAAGTATATTAAAAAAAAAAAAAAAAAAATTGCCTTAAAACTTTTCCCCCCTTTTTTGGCCGCCCATTTTTCATTATCAATTCCCACATTTTTTTCTCCCTAAAACTTATGTTTATCCGCTATTTCACTCATTTGTGCAAACCCTCATAATCGACCTATTTTTAATAGTGGAAAAAAAGTTCTCATTTTTATCACTCCCTTCAGTCGACGACAACTCACTCACTGACTCTGACACTTACTCCATGCTTATTCCAACGAAGATTGTTAACTTCGATAAGTTCTTGGCAAGACGTATCCCCAACACCCAAACTGGTTTTTCGATTATTCGGTAAACCGGTTCGGTTTTGGTCCATAGAAATACAGAAAACCGATTTTTCGATTTTATTTAAAAAACAAATTGAAAACCAAACAATTCTGTTTAAAATTTCAAAAGTAAACAATTTAAATTAAAAAGCCCCTAAATCTAAAATTAAAGAAACACAAAACCCCAAACCCGGTTTTATTTAAAAAAAAAAAAAAAATTAGATTTTGCCCAAAATTCAAATTGTTTGAACCCTTAAAATTAAAAAAAGTAAAATAAATAAATAAACAATCTAATTAATTTCTCCGCTTCCATCGTCACTATCCATACAAAATCCCCAAACCACTAAAACCCCACCGCCGCCGATGCAATTGCTGTCCACTTCTCCACTCCTTCCGCCTCTTGTTCTCCAATTTTTGTCTGAAATCCTTGACTTCTCCACTCCGTTCGCCTCGTCTTCTCCATTTGACGGCTGAATCTCCAGTTGCTGAACTCCTTTTTTTTTTTTTTTTTTTTTTACTTTCATTTCTCTAATACTACTTTGTGTTTTTCTTACCTACTTCTGATGACTTTTTGTGAATCATCTTTGGCTATTTTGTACCATATAGTAAAAGTACCCCTTTTCCAAAGTAAAAATCCTGTTAGAATGCTGAATCTTCCTCGCCTACTTTGTGTTCCTACTTCTGCTGACTTTTTGTGAATCTTCTTTGTTNAAAAAAAAAAAAAGAAAAAAAAAAGATTAACACAATATTGCATTTGGACATAAAACGCTTTACATCTAACTCCTTTTATGGATGCGTTAAGAGGAAACGACATGTTCCCACCCAAGATTTGGCCAAATGCCCATTTTCCACCCCGAGTTTCATAAATTTCATATTCTTACCCTTAAACCAACACTGTTAGCAACTTTTAGATTCCGACATAAGTACAGAAAATGATATTACCATACTGCCCTTGACAAAATATTTTTAAATTACTTTTAACCCCCAAATTAATAGAATTAGAAAATAACCCCATTTCCAAAACTTTTTTCGACCGCCCTTCCCACCGAAAATAGCCCTCTACCCAGCCATTCCACTCCCCGGTGTACCCTCTCCAAAACACACTTATCCCCCAACCCTCTTTGCTCCATTTTCACCATCTTGAAGGCCATTTTCCTTGGGTTTTGTTTGAGTCTGAAGGATTGTTTTGGGTTGATTTTGTTGGATGTTTGGACGCAAATTGAGATTCTTTAGAAGTGTTTGTGACTTGTTAAATTTTTCCGGTTGTCGACGCCTCCGGAAGCTCTCTCCTTTGACCTTTTTCCGATTGAACACCACCTGTTCGATAAAAGGTCGCAATCAGCGACCTGCCCTCCAGCTTGCACTCTCGTAAACCTTCTCCCAGCCGTCGCCATCGCCTTTTACGGCCGCCACCACCACAACACCTTCCACGGTCGCAACCACCTCACCAGCTTCCACAGCCACAACCACCTCACCACCAGCAACATCCCCACCATCCTCTCCAACCTTCTTTTCATTTCACCAAAATAGCCACCCATTTTAGCAGGAGGTGACGCACGTTAGCTTGTCCTGTTTGGGTGCTTTTTTTTCTAGCTGATTTCCTCTTGCCGGAGACTCACCATCCCTCCCTTTCGATGGAGGGTTATTTAACTTATTTTGAGACTTTAAGGGTTATTTTAAAATTTTATTTTCATACTTATTTAAATAACCAATAACACTATGGACACCGAAATATTTGCACCGAATTTTTGTACCGGCCGACGTGGAACGCGTTCTCCCATTTCTTTATAATTTTTTTCTAGTGAACGGCCGTTCACTCACATGGACGCCCGTCCATGTTATATGGACGGGCGTCCATATGCGAGGGACGACCGTTCATATAATATGGACGCCCGTCCCTATTAAAATAAAATAAAAAAATTTGTAAAAGTTTAGGGACGGCCGTTCATCCATTATAGACGGTCGTCCATTAATTTTGGATGGGCGTCCATAAATATGGACGGGTGTCCATATGCGAGGGACGGCCGTCCATATAATATGGACGCCTGTCCCTATTAAAATAAAATAAAAAAATTTGTAAAAGCTTAGGGACGGCCGTCCATTAATTTTGGACGGGCGTCCACAAATAATGGACGCCCGTCCTTCACCCAAATATGAAAAAAAAAAAAATTCCATTATGGAGGGCCAAAAGTAATTCGTAAAAAAAAATTAATTTAATTAATTTTTAACACTGGACGGCCGTCCATTCATTGTGGACGGGCGTCCATACTGAATGGACGCCCGTCCATAAGGGTTGGACTATGGACGCCAGTCCATAATGTTATTAAAATTAAAAAAAAAAAAATTTCACGTTTTAGGTTAAAACATTTGGGGAAGTTTAAATTTTTTTAACACCCAGGCAGCCATTACCATCTTCTTCGTCTTCCATCTGCGTTACTGCGTCTTCTTCGTCTTCACGGTGTTTTTCTTCTGGACTCCTGTTCTGCACTTGTTCTTCGTCTTGGTAATTAAACACTTTCCTTTTTCAAGTTTTTTTTGGATTTTTTTTTTTTTTTGGTTGGNTCAAATTAGAGTTTGATTATGCATGCAATATGTTTGATGAAATGTCCAAGAGAAGTGTATGCATGAGTTTTATTCATTTATGAATTGATATGAGTTTGTAGATGGTAGAGAGAAACTTATTTTTATGCTACATGGCATCCTTGCATTTAAACATTTGCATTTAGAAAGAGTTATAAGCATGAAACCATCTACATGCATACATATTCATAAGAGCATGAAAAAACACTAAAATATGTTAAAGAGAAAATAGAAAGAAATGAGAATATTAAGATATTCAAATCTGAAATTTTAGTTAAAGAAGCGTAAAAAGATAAAAAGAAGAGAAGGTTGTTGCAATGGGGAGCCCGTGAGTGACAAAGTCTCACATGCATGCCGCCCTTAGTAAGCGGCCTCAGAATTCAGAAAGAAGAATTGTACAGTCCGTTAGAAGTGCGTGTGGATGAGGACTGTACCCAGAATTAGAGAATTCACTCAGACGGCCAAGGCTCCAAATCCATGCCTCAACCGAGTCCGATCGACAAGAAAAGAAAGAATAGAAAAGAAAGAAAAAATAGAAAGAAAGAAAGAATAGAAAGAAAGACT